AGTTACTAGGCCTATGATTTAGTAGAGACATTTTTGGCTATTTATGTCAGCTGCTTCAATTTTATAGAGTCAGTAAATATATATATATATAGAGAGAGATTTGGTGGAGTGGTGGAAGAAAAGCCCCCAGAGCCACAGGATTGGGGTGGCAGCAGCACAGCAAAACCAATGATACAGGCCAAGTGACCCGTAGATGTTACCAGAGCCCAATTATGGACCAGACATTTGCATCAAACGGAAACTGCTGGTGCTGAACTGAGCTCCATGGGCTGCAAGACTTGCTCTCCAAAGTTCCCAGACACATATACGCGTGCAACATATGTATGTTATATACACACCTGCGTCTTCCTTAAGCATGTACATTTACAGTTGTTTCCAAAATGTTTTTTTTTTTTCTGAAACGGCAACCGTTTATTTTGTTGTTGTTGTTGTTGTTGTTGTTGTTGTTGTTGTTGTTGTTGTTTCTATTGTGTGTTTGACCTTTTCCTGCTATGGTGACAGGGCACATGTTCGAGCGAAATATGACTCTCCCTAAACGGCACAAAACAGTGTTCAAACAGCGTCACATGGCGCTCAAACGGCACAACAGGTTTGGCAACAGTTCTGAGTGCTTGTGTTGAAGACCATTGAGGTTTGAAACATTATTTTTTCTTGAAGAGGCACTTCTTCCACGAAACTAGAAAACTGCAGCTTCTCCAAACGGCAGGTTTACAAACCGGTGCATCCAGGTATACAACCCCCCCCCTCAAAATAAAATGACAAAAACACCTGCTGTGCAGGACATGATTACAAGGATGCGATTGAAATGGAATTCACTCCGGAAGACCCCCGCGAGGGAGCAGGACCTGTAGGAGTCACTGGCTGCATCGGCTTGAATTCTTATGAGACCTTGCTGGTGGGCTTGACTAACAGCTTTGCCGTGCTCTGGGAGTTCAAGGTTGACCATTTCATGCCTGTACCCACCGACCCCAAGTTGGAGCTTTGGGCATCATGAGGGCTGTTTTTCTTGGTTTCCTTGCTTGATTTTTTTGGTTTTGAAGGGTTTCACAATGGAATCCAGGAGTGGAAGATCCTCTCAGCAGGATATACATGTCAGTCTTCTTTTACTGTGGAAATGGTTGTATGATGCTGTATGTAGCAAGAGGTTGTTTGCTGCATGTCGCGCAAGATCGCACAAGCAGCTGGTGCATGCCGCATGCCGCATGTCCAACAAACTGAGGAGTACATGTGGCAGATCGACAAGGATTTCGGCTACTACAAGAAGTGGCCCTGGTGGGATAAACAGGATGTCGTGAAAACCGCGGTCAAGGAGTGGGAAAAGAACCGCTTCCACTTGCATGACGGCTATGCTCGCAGACTGCGGGGCAATGACCTGGGCAATGGCAATGCATCCAGAGAGCTTTTCGACATGGACAAGGGGACCATACCTTGGCTATACCACAAGCTCCACCGTGACTCCGCCTAGAAAACAAGCATGTTTCGCAATAATTAGCTCGAGGTCTTGGACATTCTTCTGCTCAATCACCTTAGTCTCTCAAATATGTCACACAAATCAGTTTGTCCTTCGGCCTGAAGCCTTGGGTCTAAATTCTAAATCATTCCGAGGTTCTTCCCCACTGTCCCCCTGGGACAACACCTTCACGAACTTGCGTTGGGGCGATGTCCCGGACACTTATTACGAGCCAGACGGCTGGGGTGCTGTCACTGTCATGGTGGAGATTCCCTCAGATACCTTGCACCTTGGCTTTCGTGGATTTCTGGAGAAAGAATCAGATGGGTTGAGGACGCTGGCCAGATGTCGAACACAAAGATGGACAGCTGTGGGCCTCAAATGGGATTTGTTTGATCAGCCTCCATGCCTAATCCACAGTGTTCTCGATGCTTCGTCCAAAATTTCTGCCCCCCCTCCCCCACATCATTGCAATACCCATCCACGACAACCAGCAAACGCCATGTCATGTGCTATCTTTGCATCGATGCCGTCGCACTGTTTGTGCGCCACCTGCGCGCGAACCTGCCGTGTGAGGTTCGTGATTGGCTACGAGGACGGCAGCATCCGAACCTGGCACAGCTATAATGGCTTCATCGTGGCCGTGATCCCCAAGGCCCACGCCGGCGCGGTGAACGCCATGGTGGCGGCGCCGGCCGGAGGGAACTTCTACTCCGCTGGGGCGGATGGCTTCATCCGCGTTTGGGAGGCGCGGGGTGTCTAGATGGTGATGGATGTAGAAAGGTTTTTGCCCTAAAGGGGAGATCTGAGGCCATCGCTGGATTCACGCGTGACAAAGTGACGGGGTACGTTGCATCCAAATGCATTTGAGATGGGGCTCGACCTTCGACTTTTGTGCGTCAGAACGAATAGCAGCTGGTATGTCAAGATTGATTTGAAGGCCATCCCCTTATGCTTCAAGAACATTCATGCAAAGTAAATTAAAGTAAAAATAGTAGACCAGATAGCCAAATTTGGGGACTTTGTTCTTAGAATAGTTAGCATGGCTAGATCCGCACCATGTCGATCCACCATATAGAACCGGATCTGCCCCCTGTGCCATGCCTCTTTCCACTGGCCCACCTTGTCGGCCTCAGTCCTCGAGTGGGAAGTTCGTGCGGGAAATCTATGCCGCCTGGGCCGGGCCCATCGGCAGCCTCGCGATGATCCCTGGGGGCAACGCGATCTACTCGGGCCACTTCTCAGGGACAGCCTCACCATCTCGCGGGTTAGTTTGGGGATGGCAATATGGTATACATCCAAGAAACATTTAGAAAACCACAGGTTTGGCTCTTTTTGCCCATTTTGTGGTGGGTTTGGCAAGGGCTTGGGATGGTTTTGCTGTCTCCTAATGGAGTTGTATCAGGCTTTAGCCGGATCTGGTTGGCGCCCATTTTGCGCTTAGATACTGCACTTGATGGAGTTCAGAAGGCTGTGATTTTGCGGAAGAAATGGCAACGTAGGTCTAATCTGTTGCTTGCACACCACTGCTCATTCCTGAAAGAGCAAGCTGCTTGTGTGTTTGATTCCTTGCTTATTTGCTTACTTTGTCTTTTTGTTTGACCGAATGTGCTAGAGAAAGCCATGACATCTGAAATTTCTTTCACATCGAATGCGCACGGAAGCTTTAAGCTTTTCAGCCATGATGTGCAGTTGGTTGCAGTTGGTCCAGTTTTGTCCTGTTGGACTATGAGACCATCCGATCCATCCACTGGATAACTCACCCACTTCCAGGACAATCTACCTTTGGGCGGTCGATGGGACGGCCCTGTGCCATTTGGAAGCTTCCCTGCACATTGAAGTTTTTTGCCTTGTGATACTATACCGACTCGGAATGCATATGTTTTCCTTAGACACACGGATGTATTCGATAACTTTTTCTCAGCTCCAGTCCAGAATGCACCTACCGACTCAAGTAAGAACAAAAGCCAAAGGCGCCTTTGGCATGCCTTTGGCCCTTGCCAATGTGGCATCCCGACCTCCACCATGCTTAATCATTCCAAGCATCACCTTCTCCCCAAGGACACCGAGGGCGGGAAGGTCAATAGCTTGGCAGTGAACGACGGGAGCATCGGTCAAGTGTTGACTGCTCTGGAGAACGGAGAGGTGAGGGTTTATGCCCAAGGAGGTCTTGGCCCAGGGTGAGCGACCGAAAACAACACCCCAACCGAGGGTGTGGCGGTCCGGGAGGTGTAGACGTTGCCTCGGAAGAATTCTCAAGTCCAAGGAGCGACCCGTTTAGTGCGTGAAAACAGGGGGAGTGGCCTTACCTCCTTCCGTGCCCCTGAGAATTCTAAGGCTTTCTGCCCTCCATTTTGAGAACTCACTCGGGCGCACCGGGTGACCGGTGGAGGATCATCCAGAACTCCTGGAGGTTCTGACGCAATACCTTGGATGTGAAAATGCCATATACGATAGTGGATCAAGAGTGCGTAAGGGTATGCGTGATGAACATGTACATAGGCGGATTGCTCCTGTTGGTTCAAGACTGCTGTATTATATAATATTAGCTATATATCATGGGACATGCTCTACTTCTCACTTCTCAACCAGGATGATCCTCCAAACAAAGCAGCCCCACCTTTTTTTCCACCTGTGAAGTGCAGGGTGTGGGGGAACCGCTGGCGAGTGCAGCTGAACGGCGACACTTGCAGTACGTATATCCTAGTGATCCTAGTGTAGCATTGAGATGACAGCAACGGTGCTACAGGGGGGTTGATCTGAACTTCTTGGCCAAATCCTCCATTCTTGGAGTCATGTTTCAGGCTTGTTCACATGATTTCTTCAGCTTATTCTGTTTGGATCGACCTCCAAAGCTGCTTCCAGAATTCCAGAATTCCTCAAGGGAACCTCGGACCAGAAAAGTGCCAGCGAAGCGGAATGCCTATGCGAAGCCTTCACGAGTAAGCAGGCCTGGCGTCCTCCCGGTTATCGAAGGATCCACGTGATCGAAGGATTGATGCCACTCATGCCGGACTTGGTGAACTTTTTGAAGCGAATTGGGGACCATTGGAGCCCTGAAGTCTTCCATGTCAAGTAGAAGTAGAAGGTTCCAATGGAGGCTTTGGGTATGTTTCTTGTTAAGATTGTTGCTCCTAAAACTGCTGAGTCCAGCGTGAGTCAATCCTCCCAAAGGGTTGCTTTGCGATTGGACATCAGCCCAAGAATTATGGCAAGGTTTCTGTCAAATACAGCCCACTCTTGCACCTGCCAAATACAGCCCAGAAGTCATTCTGGCCTGCATCAAGTCGGCTCAAGCTGCCAGGTGGGGTGCTGGTAGTGTGAGCCCGTACTGTAGGTACAGGTTTTAGAAGACAAACAATCACCGCACGCCAACCATTGTCGATAGCCGACGGCAGAGAACTTGATCCCATAAGTTTCAGAGACATTCATCGGGCTCTTGATGTACCGAGTTGATGCCAAAATCCTTTTATCATATTTATCACCTTGTCCCTAGACTCTGTGCATGGCGGGGTAGGGTATTCCTCCTGCCAACCGCATCATGGGCCAAATGGGGTGGAGCGGGTGGATTCAACTCTTCCTATTGGCTGGGCTCGGGCGCGCTGGGCTCGGAAAACATCGCGCCAATGCTTCCCACTATCCTTACGAGGACACGCGGCGAGTTTCGCGGCGAGGAAACGTGCGGAGTCTGAGTCCGCGGAGGGGCGTTTTTGGATGTTTTTGGATTCACAGGGTCTGGTGCTGGATCAGGGCAAAGCAGTAAACGCACGCTTGGATGTGACGGGGTGTGACGGTTCAACACCTCGTAGGATTTGATCTCTGAAACTGTGGCTTACTGCTATACAGCATTGGTGCGCGATTCGGGATGTTGCTTGGATCAGAAGTATGGCAAAGGTGTCCGGAAAAAGACAGTTCGGCGACCTGGTGTTGGCTGGCTTTGTGACAAAGCTTGCTACGACGATACGATGCTTTGACAGGGATTTCAGCCGCTTGTTGTACGTTGCATTCACCACAAGTTTCGTTCCTTTTAAACGGGAGGCGAGTTTACTGTTAACTGTTAGACTAGGTCCTAGGTGGGTGCTTTTACTGTCGGTTCTTTGTTCCAATTCTTTTTGTCTAAGGAAAGGTTATCGTGGCGACGCTTGGCGTAGAGTCAGATTGAGCCCAAGCGTCAGATGCAGCTCCAATGCTTCCTTCCTTCCTTCCTTCCTTCCTTAAGTCCCTTCTCGATCCTTTTGGGCCCTCCTTTCACTGACTCCTCTATTTGCCCGAACAGACTCGACGCCGCGGCCCTGCTGAGCTCTTTCACTGCACCAAGCCCCGGCCCAGCCCCTGCCCCCCCCCGCACCGCGGAACGAGGGCGGGGCCGTCGGATGGGTCGCACGGGAACGGCGCGGTCGATGGCGTTCGTTCGTTCGAAGGGGAACGCCGAGGATGATTTGCTGTGGATCCCCGAGGGCGCCAGCTGCGAGTCTCCACGGCTCCTGTGGATCCACGGCGGGAGCTGCTCGGCGGCGGCGCGAAGGAAGGAAGGAAGGAAGGAAGGAAGGAAGGCCAACGGGTGACAGCGGTGAAGGCGGGAAAGATCTAGCATGATCTGGCTTTTTGTTGGTTGTTGGAGGTTTTCTTTCTAGTGGGAGGGGTGGGACAGGCAAGATCAGAGGCAAGCAGGCAAGCCAGTTCAAATCGTGCTAACTCCCAACTCAGGTTGGGAGTATGGTTCGCCTGACACCTTGTCCTATGGCCAGCTGGCTTCGAAGATAGCAGAGCTCTCCGGGGCGATTGTCATGGTGCCTGACTTCCCCTTGACTCCCGTGGGCGACTACCATGCGACCCGACACCTGTCCGGACCGGATGGGACCTCATCGCAAGGACTAGCGGCTAGCGAGTCGATGTTGCGGGGAGGTGATGCTTTGCAACATGTTGCAAGCCAAAAGTAGTCATTGGTGAGATGGTCGCACACAACCAACCGGGAGGAAAGGGATAGGAACACCATGGGAGATCAAAATAAAGTTTCCCACGTCCTAGGTACAGATGATGTTTGCTTCTTGAAGGGCTTCACTCTCCAGTTTGCGGATGTTCAGAGGGTCCATGTCTTCATGTTTTCATGAGGTGATTATGCAAGCCCTCCTGGACGCCTTGCGCTGGTTGGCCGAGACACCCTTGAACCCTGAGCTTCATTGCCCCAGCGGCTCCGCCCCACTGCTGGTCGGTGGCGACTCGGCGGGCGGCGGCACGGCTCTCTCATTGATTATGGTGCTGAAGCATGGGGCTGGATGGATTCCTGAAGGAGCCACATAGACTATATAGAGATAGAGACGACTGGTCCATATCTTTGTCAAGTTAAGGATGGTTTCAGCATGAGTTTTGAAGACGAGGAAGCTTGCAGAATGGATGCCTCAAAGATAAATTAGCCAAAAGGCTGGAAGATGGAACTTTTCCAGCACGTGTCCGACGCACCAGATGTTCAATAGTATTGCGTAAGTGAGGTTGTAGCACACGTCCAGGTTGCAGGTTCATTCTGAACCTAGAACAATCCCCCGCAAGGAGTTGCTATCACTGAGCCGGAGACGCTGCTTCAGCAAGCGCAGATCCTGGCTGGCGGCGTTTTCTTTAGCCCGTGGACAAACCTGAAATGTGACACGCCGGACTACTATTACAACGCTTTCGCCAAAATTGTCGACAAGAAGGCCAGTAGTGCTGAAAGAGTGAGGGAACATGGCCATGGTGGGTGGTAATCTTTCATGTGTCATTCTTACTGTGACAACGGGCAGGCTGGTGAGTCGCTCGGTTCAGCACGGCCGAGGCCTTCAAAGATCCCAGCTCGGGCATTGCCTATGTGGGGGATTTGATGTTCCGCGGGCAACCTGGCAGAGCCTGGCAGGGCCTGGACCACTGGAAGTAAGTCTTACTTCTCTTTTCGTGGAGATGGAGCGATATTGGAAGCAAAGAGCTGCTGTAGACCATAGACTCTAGACGCAATGGATGTAAACTGTTGAACCCTGACATTGCAAAAGTCTTTGTATTGTCTGTACCTTTAGTCTTTAACTTTTATCTTATCTCCATGATTCCCTCCTGACTGCTGGACCTCTCCCATTTGGGTCTCCAAGGCATCCCGAGGAAAACCTGGACGAGTTCACGGCCAATGCCAAGAGCTACTCGATGAGCTTCAGCACGAGAGACTGGCCGTCCCGGTTGGATGAGGAGCGGAGGCTGTGTGGCCAAGGCCAAGAATCTGGATGATGCGGGTACTAGTGTTTGCGTGTGTTGAATTACAGCGGTGTCAAGTGGATTAAGGGGCCGACAGATTTGATGTTCCAAACTTCGTTCATTGAAAAAGGCTGGGAAGTTGTGGATGTTGACGCAATCAATTCGTACTATTCCCAGACGAATGGCCAGACCTGCCGTACTACCAGATCTCAAGAAGATCAGTCGCAGACCTGTGCTATGTGATATTGAGCTTTCGTCTTGTTTGGCCCTTCTGAAGCGGATTGCATACTTGCAACAAGAGGTTACCCTTGGAACGGCCGAGGTTACATCGGGAGCAATGTGGACCTTTTGACCGACCCCATCGCTTCTCCTTTCTGGAGCACGGAGCAGGAATTAGGAGGCTAGGCTTCGTCATGGTTGCCGTGTGCCTTCCAAAGGAACGAACGGAAGAAAAACACCACTGCTGCATGCTTCATGCCTCCAGACGAATTTGGAAGGCCTGAGAGCCTTAGATGGTGGACCCATGTAGACCCTCAAATCCCCAGTTTAAACCTCAGATCCTTAGGGCCTCCCTCGATTCGGCTGACCATCTGCACGAGGCGGGGGCATCCCACCGCTCCTCTTCGCCGTGGGGGGATCCGAGTCGATCCTGGGAGATAGCATGATCGTGGCGCAGAAAGCAGCCTTCTATGGCGCGAGCACCGTGGATCGAACTCCGATGGTGGACGTTCGGACGTTCGGCACCATGTGAACCGGTGAAACACGGGGTGTGGTGTTTCAAGGGCACTTATTTCATGGTCTTTAGATGTCTTTAGTTAAAGATGCTGCCTTTCTCAAAAGAGTAGATTTGTGTCTCCGACTCCCTCCCCTCATCCAGGAACACTCTTGCCTTTCTTGAAGACTCTGCGGGGTGGCCAACAGATCCAATATGCAGGATTACTCATCAACTTGCTTGATGTTTCAATATGTTTCAACGATTTGGGTGTGTTCCAATGGAATTCCAATAATTAGGTATTGGACAATCTTGGATATTTCAATTTCGGAATAGTTTGGATTAAATGTCCGGAAACTTCATGCTCATCCAAGGTGTCCATGTGGATGTGCATGTGGGGATGTGGCACGACTTCCCCATGTATTCCGAAGGCTGTGGCAGTGGCTATGCACTTTGGCAAGCCGCTTTAGCCTTGAACCGCAGCTTGGAACCCAAAAGAGGATCGTAGGAATTTGGACCACAGGAGGTTTTTTTTGATAGATTGAAGCATCCAACACCAGGACCCCAATTTCTTGAAGGCAGCAGGGAGATTGAATGAGATACTGCTTCATATTCGATATGATCCTCTCATTTCACTCATTGCATGCTCTTTCCTGCCTTCCAGCTCCAAGTACGTATCGATGGCTCCGACGGCCGTGCCTAGGCACGGCCACCTTCATCCAGAAGGTCGCCTCCCGGAAGCTCACGGCCACTCGCCTGGGCTTGGTGTGGCCTCCCTCCAGCTCCACGCCCGGCACACCCAAGACCAGGCGCAGTCCGCGGAGCGCGTTCGTCGCGCGCACATCGCTTGAACCCACCTCCCTTCGGAGTTAGTGGGACACAAGAAGTGAGAACAAAATAGATCAAAGTATGTTCATGTCGACTTGGATGTGTTTGGCCTTTGCTGGGGACGTATGCCAATGCAGGACTCTCAATGCTTGACTCATCAACTCGCATCGATACTTACATTCCTGGTCGTACCACGTCACGAGGTACATCTACGACGTCACGCGGCCTGGGGCCGAAAAGCACCTTGGCAAGACAGATCGTGCCAGCTGGTCTGAAGTTGCCATTGCATGGGGAACGACATGGGAAACAACTGAGATTCAAACTTGATTTGTAGAATGCCTAAGAACGCCTAAAGTTATATAAAGGGTTTGGAGGTGTTTGGAGGCGTTTTCAGATGTTTGGTCATTTTTGCTCAATATCACCCGGCTGTTGTTGGGGTAGTTCAAAGATGTTGAACGGTCACTCATAGTTATCCTCATTTATTCTCTAAAATGATCCCCCTTGCACAGGTCCTTATGAAATGGGGATCCTGGTGACCTATAAAATGACTTTTCCAGGACTCACTTCATAAAAAGCACAATGTTTCCGGAAATCGGAATTTTGAAAAAAAGGCCTATGCATCTTGTCTCGTCATTTCATAAGAAAAGGTCGGTTTGGCTCCTGTGTACATTTTATAAACAGTGATTTTTCTTTAACATAGAGACAGCTGGATGTTGGTTGCTCATTCTATAAACAAGTAATTGTGTGAGAGAATAGAACCATTTTATGATTAAAGGTTTATAAAATGGGTTTTGACATGTTTGCCAATGGATTTAATAGTCCTTGGCAGGGTAAAGCTATTTTATAAACCATTCCCTCTGCCAAAGAGCTGGAGGGTGTGGACAAATACGATGGGCCTTGGCAGGGAAAATTATCTGTAAAATGGTTTGCCATCTATTTAAGGGAGGGTGTGGACAAATACGATGGGCAGGGTGAGGTTTATAAAAATGAGGCGATCCAACCTCCGCGTTTTGGGTCACTTTTTTTGCGCTTTGGTTGGCTCCCTTACTATAGTGGCTCTACAACCAAGTCCTAAATTGCATTCGGTTGCTATCACTTGTCTTACATTGCACAGTTGCTCCCTTGTTTTGATATTAGAGTTGACTTTCATTCTTTTGAGATGTTTTGAGTGTGATTCTTCTTCAAGAAGAGTTAACAGAAACTAGTCCTGCACAGGATTTGCCTACATGGAGCCTATAGCCACTATAGTGCTATACCATAAATGGCTCATTATAGTGTGATAGTCCCATGCAGGCTCCCATGGCTTTAGACTTATAGTGCGTATAGTGGACACAACCACAGCAAGATGTTGGTTGAGCATTCCATAAACATGGACCATTCTCGGATCAAAATGATCACCGGGTCATCAAAAGCTATTCCATAAAGAGAAAACAGGCGTTTGCGGATTTTCTTTTTTTTTGCTCTTGTATGTTGTCTCGCCATTATATAAAAAGATCGGGTTCTCATTTTATAAAGCAGCAGCCTGAGGGAGTCCATTTTATAAATGATTTTTGTTTATAAAACCAAGTCCCTCACCCCAAAGACCTCCACAAAGGGGATCTAAAATGATCCAAAGTGTGATCGAGAGAGAATGGAGCGGTAGTGGGCAGCTTTCGAGTTCACTCTTGATTTATAACCACCAGACAGATGTCCCTCAAGATCCTTGAGAGGGCTGCTCGTCAAGATCCAACAATTGCAAGTTCCTTGGCCGACTGCAGATGTTTGACATGTGTCAGCTGAGGTGGTTTCCGAAGTCTCTTTTGAGCCCCATGAGCGGCGATGTTCACTTTGATGAGATTCCTTGGCCGTGCCCCAGATGCAACGGATTCCGGGTGCTCCGCCATGCGACACCGGCCGGGGGGGAGCACCCGTCGCGTCACGACACCGGCCCCCCTGAGGTCGACACCAGTGTCACCTGGAGTGATGGACTTGAGCCCTTGGTTGCCATGGTTGGTTCTCCTCTTGATCTTTGCTTCGGGCCTGGCCCAAATGACCTACGCCGACGCAGCGCAAGCACGGCTCGATGCACTCAAGTCACTGCGACAGCCGCTCGTGGACGTTTGAGCATCAAACACCAGATTCAGTCAACCACGTCTTCAATCAGGGCCCGGAGGCCCTTGGAAGAATCAAGAGGTTGGGCGTTGTGATTCCAGGGTATGGTGAGCGGGCGCCTCTTCAGGCATCCGCCAGTTTCGTTTTCCCTTGTACAGCTGGTTTTGGCGATGGAGGCTGCCTCCACGTTTCTCATGGCAGGTTTCGGGGACCATCATTCTGTTTGCCTTCCATGGACACTGACAAAGGGGGCTCACAAGCGCATGTGCGGAGGGAGCAACTTCCCAAAAGCCCAACCAAAAGCCCGACAGAGCAGGGCAGGGAAGTAAGAAGTACACTCCGACTCAGCAACATGGACGTGGACACTGGGCCCCAAAAGAACTATTTTTGCGCGACAAACAGGGGCCCAGGGGGGGGTTGTTGGTGAGTGGGAATGCAAGTGAAGAAACACCAACACCAACAACACCTTTGCATGAGTCCTCCCGTTAGCGGCCACACCGGCCAGCGCAGGGTGATGCCTCTGAGGGTGAGCAAGACTCCCTGATTCGCGGCTCAGCTTTTCAAGTGCCTGATGGGCATCAGCCAATCCATCATAACTGAGGATGGATCAATCCTGGTGATTGTAACGAACTTGGCCCCGTACTCGGGTTACGGCCCTTGATGGCCCTTTGTCATGTTCTCTACGACCTTTTTGCTATGTTTGATGAATCTTTGGCTCCTACTAAGCCACTGTGGTAAAGCATTATCCCGGCAAGAGACCCCAAACAGTGTGTGTGAGGTCTGTAAGCAGAAAGTCTAGAGATCTAGACGCATTGGGGTCCAGAGAGGTGATGGTGGTGATGGAGTGAAGGTGGGTGTGAGTGAGTGTGGGTGAGAGGGAGTGTGAGTGAGAGTGGGAGAGTGAGTGAGAGTGAGTGTGGGTGAGAGTGAGAGTGAGTGTGAGTGTGAGTGTGTGAGTGAGCGTGAGTGAGAGTGAAGGTGGGTGCGAGTGAGTCTGGGTGAGAGTGAG